CTAGAGGAGGCTTCTATAGAAGAGGTGCTTCTTAGACCTATGCTCAATATGAGTATTGAGTATGATTCCTCTAGTTAGTCTCATAGTCTCTATTGTAAATACATTGTATAGTTTGATTTCTTGTACCTTGTATATAGTATATACTTGTATAGGTGTATTTTTGCCTTTGTATTTGTGAGGCACTTTATTTCCTTTTTAGTAGCTATTGTATATTGTTTCTAGGGTAGGTTACTTGGGCACTTTGACTCTGTTTAACCTAATCTAGAAATACACTCTTTTCTTATTTTTCTAGTAGTAGGATTGGGAGTGGCATTAGCAAGCTAGAGAGTGTCACTAGCAAGCTAGAGAGTGTTACTAGCAATTGGGCCAAGAGGTGGGCCTAGGCAAAATTTTACATATTGGACTCATTTTACTCCTAATTTTTCATAGATTTGATTTAGCTAGGTTCCATTCACATTGGATGAACCTAACTAAACCAAATTATCATTTTCAAAACCGATTGGAGTAAATTAAGTCCAAAAGGCCGCCCACCTTAGTTTGTGTTCACATTGGCCGGATTGCTTGGCTACTCTCAAGCTTAGAAGCTTGAAGCACAAGCTTCTCCTTAGCTTGCTTACCAAGCAAGCTAAGTGAGTAGCTTGCTCTCCAAGCCTCTAGACCATGGGTGGTTAGCTAGACCTTACCATGGTTCCTAGTGAACCATGGTTAAGGCTAGCTTGCTCTCTAAGCTTCCTACTCCTATATACTTGTATTCCTTTCATTGTAAGACATTTTTGGATGTATTGAGATTTATTTTCTGAAGATTGTTCAGATTTCTCTCTTCTAAAAGTCCCTAAACCTCTTTGATATTCATCCAATTCTCTTATCCCTTCACTAGAAGAGTGTCGTGAGAATTGAAGAGACTTATCTCTTCATCAAGGAGTGGCGTCTCTTGGGAGAGTTCTCCACCAAACCGTGGTGGTTCTAAGGTCTCCTCCTCCATTGGAGACCTTAGCAAAACTTAGGAAGAATCAAGGAGTCGAAGATCTAGGGAGGAACTTGAAGAGGATTCACAACAATCCGAATTCTCCAACAAGTTTTCCATCACTATGCCTTTACCCTTTATATGACAAGTACTCACTTGTTCATCATAGAAAAAAAAAACATTCTATAATGCATGAAATCACACTTGTTATAGAAAAGTTATTTTTAAGACCCAAAATTACCAAATGTATTCATGCTTCATTGTTGATCGTCTCCATAGTGTGCTCCTCTATCGGGCACTACTTCTCCACATAATACCTTTGTTGCTTCTCCAATCGTCTTCGCTGCTCCTCTACCTTCATTCAAGTGTTGTTCTCCGTCCTCAACCTTTGCTCAATTCGTGTGTCCTCCATCGTCATCTAGTTCACATCCTAGATTCGTCCATTTTCTATTTTCTCTTTAATTTTTGTTGTGTTTGATTGATTGTATGATTCATTGATGTTTTTATGATGTTGAATGATTTGGAGGATGATATGATAAAATGGTTGTGGTTTGGGGTTTTTTCGGTGATGCATGCCAAATGCTCATATATTAAAGCAAAATTTTTACAAAAATTTATTAGTTATTAATTTTTATATTAATTTTCTAGTTTTTTGAGCAGTAAAATCATTTATCAATGTTTTATAGTCAAGTAATTTTAATATTTTACTCTCAAAAGATAAGATGATTAATATATCTTGTACAATTTTTTGATAAGATTTAAGTAATTTTAATTTTGGAAAACTCCTTTTGACAAGAGCAATTATTATCAGTGATTTCCCTCTCACTTTTTTTCTGAATATGAACTTGTTCTTATATCTCTCTTACTAGTAGTAACAAATTTATCCAGAGTACCTATTGAGATTGAATAATTAACTCTTTAACTTTTGTCTTTTCCTTCAATTCTTTAGAACTAGATTTATATTTTTTACCTGCCATTTTATATTGCTACAACTCAATGAAATATAATAAAATAAAATAAACGAGTAAAACAAAAATATTACAAAATAAATATGAGAAAATGATGAAATGATAGAACTTGGAAATGATAAGAATTAGACGTTAATATTATTCACAACAACAATTTGAGATCAATTATCCTCTATAGCAATTCTCTTTAAGTCTCCATATAAAAATAATAAAAAGGAAAAAAGAATGAGAAAATCAATAAAAAATTTAATATAAAAATATTAAATTTGTAAAATATATAAAGAAAGTTAATTAATATCTATTATCTTTTTCTCACCATTTAAGACAGTTTTGAAAATACTAACATTGCAAAAGAAAAAAAAAATTAAAAATGGTATTGAAATGAATAGTTAACTACAAATATGATTAATTATTAGTTTCGCGAGACTATTGGAAGTTGAGCTCTTAGATTTTTTCAACATTAGTTTACAGGACAATAGACTTTTAAACTTGAAATTTTTTACATGATTGGAGTATTAAGGATTCTAAAATTTGGAGGCGTATGACCATTGTCTTGATGGCTTTGCTTACCACACGATCCTAGTTGTACATATACATGCACATAATATTAGGTATTATATTTTTCAATAGTTTAGATATTAATAAATAGTTGCTAATTGAAAAATTTGTCAATTAAATATTCTCTCATTCATGCTTCTCTTTTATTTTCTTACTCCATAATAAACAGTAAAGAATATCATAAAAATTGATATTTAATGCTTAATTGATATTATAAATTTAAGATTAAAATGAGACACTGTTTTTTCTCTTAGCTAAAATGTAAAAAAAAAAATGCAGATGGAGAGAGTAGCTTCTAATCCACTTGTCATTAGCTTCCTAATAATCTAATATATATGCACAGTATTTATCTAATATATTAATTAGATATTCTTTCATTCATACTTCTCCTTTATATTTCTTATTCCATAATAAAAAGTTAAAAATATAATAAAAAATGATATTTAATACTTAATTGATATTGTCAAATAACAATTAAAATGAGACACTATTTATTTTGTTGCTAAAATGTCAGGAAAAAAAAATGCAGATGGAGAGAGTAGCTTCGAAACCCAGTTGCCATCCTCAGAAATCACTTCTCCACCTTGAATTTCAATACGAGCTATCATTTCGTCATTCCCCCATTACTTATATAAAGACATATTTATTCATTTATATATAAAAAAAATAATAGGAAAAGAGTATTTAAGAATAACAAAACCCAGCCAAATTTCATGCTAAAACTTAAACTTAACCACGTCAACCCAAACTAGGAAACTATGGACTAATAGAAATTTAGCTTAATTAATTTAACATTCATCTTTCATAAATTTGATTTTGCTCTCTTATTGTGGGTACAAGGGTAGACTTGGAAATTATTTAGAAATTGGTTGTTATAAATATTCAATATAGTGTACAAATGAACAATTATTACAATAAAATAAACTTTTAGTGATATTTAATATGATTTTTAGTGATAATAAAAATTGCAGCAAAATATTTTACCAGCAGATAATTATTTTGCATGTTGGTATAAAAATCTTTATAATAATCAGAAAAAATATATAAGTTTTTATGGCATTATTTACTAGCATTTAACATTTTTTATTATTACTACTAAAAATTTAAAAAATAATTTATAATACTTTATTGTTGCGGGTTGCATCAATTGTCCCGTGGCGGAGGCTAGGTGGGCCAAGTCACTGTCGATTCATGGCGCTTGGGCTGCTGCGCTCTTAAGTAAAAAGAGTTGCACCCTGACTATCAGCTATAACTTTTGGCCTAGTGGTAAGCGCTCGATCCAACAATTGGTATCAGAGCCAAGGTCATGAGTTCGATACCCAGCGGGACAATTGCTGATGGGGAGATTGTTGCAGGTTGCATCAATTGTCCCGTGGCGGAGGCTAGGTGGGCCAAGTCACTGGCGAATCATGGCGCTTGGGCTGCTGCGCTCTTAAGTAAAAAGAGTTGCGCCCTGACTATCAGCTATAACTTTTGGCCTAGTGGTAAGCGCTCGATCCAACATTTATAATTACCTTATATCTAGTTGATATAGGATTTGGAGGATAAAGGTTGCTCTTTAATTATTTTATTTATAGTTGATGTGAGACTTGAGTTTTTTTTCCTTATTTTTAAAATTTTTTATCTCCTAAGAGATGTGAAACTTGCAAGGTGAGAGTTGCTCTCTACTTAATCGATGTGAGACTTGAATTTTTTTCAATACACCTCCTTAAGTTTAGTACTATTGAACTTGGTAATGATGATAAATCTAACTTAATCCTACAAAAAATAAACATGTAAAGTAACAGTTATCATCTACTTATATATTTTTTAATTATTTTATCTTTATTCAATGTAAGACTTAAGTTTTTTCCAATAAATAATTATCACTAATAATAAATTTTAGTGTGATATAAATATATTTTTTAATAACTATTATATATTAGTCACTAATATTTTTATTAAATAATAAAATAAAGATGATTAATTTATTAATGTTAAATAATTATCGATAATAATAAATTTTTTTATAATGAATTAATCCTCGTAATATTCAAAGAATTACGTTGAACCAAAGACATGTGGTCGTTTAATTCCTAATAATATTCATTTGATTTTCAAGATAATAATGATTGTTTCATTTCGATAAATTTGACAAAATTATCTTGGATGTGCAATGAATTCAGCTTCTAGAAAGGAAAATTCATAATCCCTATCCCTTATAATTTTTCAATTGTATCTTTAATAATTTCACCTAAAAACTTTGAAATAATAGTAAATTACTATTTCATCAGTTAAGTGAGAAAAGAGTAAAACAAATAAAAAGTATAATTTTTTCATTTAATTATGTGTTGTGTGATATAAGTGAAGCGAACATGTTAAAAGAAAAAGTAAGATAACATAATATGTAAGTAAGTAATTTAAACAGAAAACGAAGAATTATAATAGTATGAAAATAAAATTTAAAATCTAACATCGTTATCATTATTAGAATTTTTACCAATAAAATAATAACACATACTCAACACAAAAACTCAACACAAAAACTTTTATTGATATCTTTAACACACATGCATAAACCATTTGATTTTGAAGGTAATAACTGATGTACCATAATGGTCCTTGACATTAATTTTGTAAATCCAATCTAATTCGAAAATTAAAAATCACTCAACACCTCATGAGGCACATGCACCATTCTTATTTTTTAACACTTATATAATGATCACTATAGGAGGTGATCACTAGCAACTTATCAATACTAAGAATACCCCTAACTAAAATGATAAGCCAGACCCACTTAACTTTTGTTCCATAATTTGAGATAATTTTTCAGCCATTTTAGGGGAAAGATAATTTACCCAATCACCTGTTTCAGCCTTTCGAAACAAGTATTTTCGCTCAAAGTTCCTCCCAAATGTTCCAGATTTATTTGCTTCCAATTCCTTCATATTCTCAAAGCTACATAACTTGATTATGCTTTCAATCATCCCAATACTTTCTTCCTCTTCAGTGAAAGGACAACCCAAGAATTCTGCTATTCTTTTCACATTAATTTCGACATCTTTTTTAAGATCCTCGTACTTCAAGAACAAAACCTTACTTGGTCTAGCTAAACTCTCGTTCCAGTACCCCAACATTTGGTTCCAAGTTGGACCAAACCCAATTATCCCTTTACAATACATATCAAAAGCTTCCTCTAGTCCAAAGTCAGGTAAATGTTTTGGCTTAATTTTATTGAGGAAAATCCAAGTAGAAACAAAAGTGTCAAGTGGGTTCCTACATATATAAATTATCTTACTATTGGATTCCTTGATTGACATGGCCAATGAAGGGTATGGAATATGTGTGCCAAAAAGTCTTGGCTCAGCCATGTTGGAAAGGTCTGGAACTTGGTTATTAGGGGCATCACCATAGACAGTGTATTCTAGGAAAGGCACAAGCTCATGGGGGTTAGAAGTGAGCAAAGGATGTGATATTGATGTGGTGAAACGATGGCGATTGACAATGGCAAAGGTGAGAGCTTTCAACCAAGTGGTGCCTGACTTTGGAATGGTGGCAACAATAACATCACTATCTTTAGCTTGGAAGTGCTTCTGAAAAGTGATTATTGCTTGGATTTCCATTTCCTGGCACCAAAAGCCTTGAAATAGATAGATGTAACGTGTGCTCCAACCTTTCTCTCTGGGAAGAGAAAGAATCAACTCCTTGCATTCTTGGCTTAGCTTGTCTTCTTCTATGAAGTGTGTGAGATTTGTTGGAGCCATCATTGGTGGATTTGTAGATGGCTAGTGTTGATTGGGACGAGAATTCTGATCTCAAAGAGGTGTTATTTATAACATCATTCGGTGGTACAAGTAAAATAAAAGAATTTGATAATTATTTGGTACACATACAATAAAAAACCAACGGATTCTTTCTTTCTTTCCTTTTTTCTAGGGCAATTGTTATTTCATTGAAAAATTAAAAGAAGAACATTACTCAATAGTGGCGGAGCTTCGTTAGAGCGGTCCCTACAAATATTTATATATTATTTTTATAAATAATTTAAAATATATGTATTTAAATATTTTCCGCCCTCAAAATATTTTGTCAAGATGCGAAGTCTGTATGGTAAGAGAGACAAACACGGCTTCAATATTTTTGAGAAAATAAGAAGAAAAAAAAAACGAAGGATATTAACTAAAATATATATGGGTCGACCAGTTAATCACGTACTAATTACGTACTAAAAGTTATATAACGGCAAAACCGTTCAATAAAAAACTTATACCAAAATGAGATATTTCTATTTTAGTATTTAAAAACTGTTCCTGCTTAGAAACACTCCTCCTGTTGTTCCTCCTTCGAGTCTTCGGAGCCGACCAGATACTGTCCTCAAAGGGTGGGGAGGGTACCTGCAAAGGCACTCCGATACTCAAGTAAGTATTCGGTATAGAGCAATAAAGGTTATTCTATTAAATATCGTACCTGTTTCTATCCCATCCCCCCTGTATTTATAATGATAGATTTGGGCCTGTTTGAGCCTGATAGGCCTTCTGTCTTGGAATATGGGTAATTGGGGATTGCTATCCCTTGATTAGTCTTTAGACATTGAAGTCATAAGGGTTTTCTATGATCGCATGCTGACTTGTCGTTTAGATTTGTGGCCAAATGGGTGTTCGGCTTTCTCATTGGTCGAATAGGTGTTCGGCCGTCCTATTGACCGAAAAGGTATTCGACCTTCCCATTGACCGAAGAGGTGTTCGGCCTTTCCATTGGCCGAAGAGGTGTCCGGTTTCCCTTCACTAGACTTGGTTGTGTCTTGGTCTTCCTCGGTTAGGCTTGAGGCCAAAGGGGTGTTCGGCTCCTTTCTAGGCTGATTGGGTGTTCGGCCTTCGCACTGGCCGAAGGGGTGTTCCCAGTACTTGATGGTCGTGTATCTTGGTCTATTGGTTAAGCTTGTGGCCGAGGGGGTATTCGGCTCCTTTCTAGGCTGATTGGGTGTTTGGCCTTCGTACTGGCTGAAGGGGTGTTCCTAGTACACTGCCCCCAAGCCCAAGGATTTGATGACGAAGGGGTTTGACATGTCGATGTTGGTCCCTACGGTTAGAATCTAGAAGGGGGGGTT